TAAAATATTTATATAAATTATATTAGCCATTATAGGTTAATTGGTAAACTATCTCTCTTCCAAAGAGATGTTATCCGTTCAATTCGGATTAATGGTATTATTAGGCTTTGTAGCTTAATGAAAGCTGTTGTTTGTCGAACAACCAGTTGCCGTTTCGTAAACGGTCAAAGCCGAATAATTTAATTATTTTATAATATTATAAAATATAAAGGGGATATAATATAATGGTAGTATTTAGTTTTTGCAAAACTAAAGTAAGAGTTCAATTCTCTTTATCTCCAATAAATTAATAAATTATTTTTATATATTAATATAATATAAATTTTATTAATTAATTTGAAATTTTATTTCAAAAATTTATTTAAATTAGATATCATTAAAAAAAAAAAAAAAATAATTTATGAAATTATTAAATAAAATTATTTTATGGAATGATGCACCTGAACCATGGCAATTTTCATATCAAGATAGTGCGACAACATCAATGGAAGGTATAGATACATTAAATGGTTATATTTATTATTATGAAGTAATAATTTTTATATTAATTATATGGGTTTTTATATCTATTTTTTCTAAATTTGTAGGAAAATCAATATCTTATAAATATAGTAATCATAATCCTATATTAGAAATAATTTGGACTTGTACACCAGCTTTAATTTTAACATGTATTGCTTTTCCTAGTTTTAGATTAATTTATTTAATAGATGAAATTGAAGAAACTAATGTAACAATAAAAGTAATAGGTTTCTTATTAGGTGGCCTAATATTATATATTTTTAATAAAATAAAAGATATTTATTTTAATAACCAAGTAATTTCTTGCTTATTAAATATAGATGAAAAAAAATATATTTTAGATAATAATTTAATTAAATCTTTTTTTATTTTTTTTAATATTCCTAATATAAGAGCTAATAAAAGAATTGGACCTCATAATAAACAAATAATTAGTGTAATTATAGGTTCATTATTAGGTGATGGTTATGCAAATAGAAAATCTAAAGAGGGTATAAGATTAATATTTAAACAAAGTATTATACATAAAGATTATTTATTTTGGTTATATGAATTTTTTTACAATAATGGTTATTGTACTAATTTATTACCTAGAAAATATACTAGAAAACTTAAAAAAAATAATGAAATAAAAGAATATTTTGGATATGAATTTAATACTTTTTCTTTTAGAAGTTTTAATTGGATACATAAAATGTTTTATAATAAAGGTATTAAAGTATTTAAAATAGAATTAGAAAAATATATAGATTCCGTGGCCTTGGCTATATGGTGTATGTTTTCTGCAAAATATATAAATGGAAGAATCGAATTATCTACTAATTTAAAAAGATACCAAGATATTGAAAAATTAATAAAAATGTTTAATAATAAATTCAATTTAATTTGTAATATTTATAAAGATAAAAAAGATTTTTATGTTATAATAATATCAAAAGAATCTGAAAAATTATTACAAATTATAGTTTTACCATATATTTTACCTACTATGAGATATAAAATTGGTTTATATAAAAATTCTATATATTCTTCCCTGTCGTCTTCAGACAACGGAGGGTTATTATTGAAAAATAAAAAAGAAAATAGATTTTATAGTACACTAAATAATTCAAAAACAAATATATTAAATCCTTATTATATAACAGGTTTTGCAGATGGTGAATCAAATTTTTCAATAATAATAACCAAAAATAAAAGTTTAAAAATAGGTTGGAGAATACAACCATGTTTTCAAATAAATCTTCATAAAAAAGATATTAATTTGTTAAATAAAATAAAAAATTATTTTGGAGTAGGTAATATTTATGAACAAACAAATTCTTATATATATATTATAAATTCCTTTAAAGATCTTCCAGTAGTTATAAAACATTTTGATTTATATCCTTTATTAACTAAAAAACAAGCAGATTTTAAATTATTTAAAAAAATATTTAATTTAATAAAAAATGATGAACATAAAACACTAGAAGGTTTATTAAATATTATTAGTATAAGAGCCTCAATGAATTTAGGATTATCTGAACAATTAAAAGTTGAATTTCCTAATATAATACCAATTGAAAGACCTATAGTTATAGATCAAAAAATAAAAAATCCACATTGGTTAGCTGGATTTATTGATGGAGAATCTTCTTTTGATATAAGAATTCAAAAAAATTCTAAATCTAAAATAGGATCAGCAGTATCATTAAGATTTAGAATAACTCAAAATATAATTGATAAAAAATTAATGGAAAGTTTAATAAAATATCTAGATTGTGGTTCAATTGAAAAAATATCAAATTGTATTAATTATGAAGTAGTAAAATTTTTTGATATTAATACAAAAATAATACCATTTTTGATAAAATATCCTATTTTAGGTTCAAAATTAAAAGATTTTTTAGATTTTTATAAAGCTGCTAGTATAATAGAAAAAAAAGGACATTTAACTAAAGAAGGATTAGAACAAATTATAATTATAAAAAAAGGTATGAATAGGAATAGAATAGGAATATAAAAAAACTGAACAACGAAGTTGTTCGGAAAAATATTTAGATCCATTAGCTTTAGCTATTTGGATTATGGATGATGGAGGTTTTACTAAATATGGAGTAAGAATCGCAACAAATAGTTTTACTTTAGAAGAAGTTGAATTTTTAAGAGATTTATTAAAAAAAAAATTTAATTTAAATTGTACAGTTCAAAAAATTCAAACTAAAGGTCAATGGTCTTTATACATTAAAGCTGATTCTATGAAAAATTTAAAAGATTTAGTATTACCATATATTCATCCAAATATGTTATATAAAATAGATTTTAAAAATAAAGATTAAACATAAAAAATTTGAAATATAAAATTCTTTTAACACAATATAAATATATAATAGTCGTGAGTATAAAATAAAACTATTTTATATTCTAAGATTTCGACAGAAATCTTTAAAAATTTTATAAATAATTTTTATTTATAAATTTTTAGGCGATACAAGTGAAAACGGTTAAAATATAATAAAATTTTAATACCATATAATTATACAAGACCGTCAGTAAATAATTTTATTTTTTATATTTATTGCTACAGACTTGGTCACTTGTAGGTCCGTATATGTATTAATACATTTAAAGGGCTTTATGTATAGTCGATTATTGTCAAAATATATTAATATATTGACATAGCACCAATGGTATTGGAGTTACGAATATCCAGATTATAATAGTGATATTTCTTTTGATTCATTTATGCAACCAACAGAAGATTTAGAAAAGGGACAATTTAGATTATTAGAATTAGATAATAATCCTGTTTTACCTGTTGGTATACCTATTAAAATTATAACTTCTTCTAGTGATGTTGTACATAGTTTTACTATACCATCCGCAGGTTTTAAAATTGATGCTGTTCCTGGTAGATTAAATACAATTACTTGTCATTTTGATAGAATAGGTAATTTTTATGGTCAATGTTCAGAATTATGTGGTGTTTTTCATTTTGGTATGCCTATTCTTTTAGAAATAGTTAAAATAGAAGAATATTTAACTTGGTTAAATTCTATAAATGAATAATTTAAATAATTTACCTATATTTAATTTATTCATATAGAAAGTTTAATAAATATATTATTAATAATTATAATTTAATATATATTAAAATAAAATTAATTTTATTTTTATTTATTTTTAAATAAATTAATCTAAAATTTATAAAATTGATTATTAATATTATATAATTATTAATAATATATTTAAATAATAATTCTATTTATATTTAAAAAAATATAATAAAAGAATTAAATAAATATGAATATATAATAAATAAAAAAAATTATAGAAAAAAATATATAATTTTAACTACTTAAAAAAAAAAATTATTAACTACTAAATATAATAAAAAATAATAATAAAGTAAGTTTTTTTTAGTTATTATTATTATTATTTATAACTAAAGTTTATTAAAATTTTGTAATAAATTATATTAATTTTTTTTTATTTTTATATTTTAGTATATAAATTATTATAATTTATATATATTTATATTTAATAAGTTAGTTATAATATAAAAAATTTAAATATAATATATTTTTTATATTATAATGCCAGATTAGCTTAATTGGTAAAGCAGTAATCTTGTAAATTACTTTATATGGATTCAAATTCCTTATCTGGCTAATTTACCTACTTGGAGAAATTGGTAGACTCAAATGACTTAAAATTGTTTACACTTAGTGTGTGAGGGTTCAAATCCCTCAGTAGGTAATAAAGAGAAGAAAGCATTTTGGTATTGCAATCGCCCTGTAAAGGCGATGGTTTATAACCATTCTGGGTTCAAATCCCAGTCTTCTCAAAGGGGAGATAGCTTAATGGTAAAGCCTACTGCTCATAACAGGAAAGATGTGAGTTCAAATCTTACTCTCCTCAAAATAAATAAAATGCGAATAAGTGTATTTGGTTTTGCACATAAGGCTCATGATCTTAAAGAGATTGTTCGACTCAATCATTCGCAATTAGATCTCATCATCTAAGGGTAAGATTTAACACCTTCACTGTTATAATGTTCGTTCAAATCGGACTGAGATCAAAAATAAAAGGAATCGTAACTTAAAGGTTAAAGTATTTGCTTGATAAGCAAAAAATAATGGTTCAATTCCATTCGATTTCAATAAATAAAGATTAGATATCTTAAATGGTAAAGTATCGGGCTGCAAACCTGATTATGAGTGTTCAATTCACTCTCTAATCTTTAAATAAAATAAGGGAGTATAACTTAATTGGTAAAGTAACAAACTTTTAATTTGTATTATTTGGGTTCAAGTCCCAATGCTCCCAGCTTAGCAAGCCTTGATAGCTTAACTGGTTAAAGTATGGAACTGAAAATTCTAGGTAGGATGTTCAAGTCATTCTCAAGGCATTAGCAAGCTAGCTATAGTAGCTTAATGGTAAAGCAAATCACTGTTAATGATCTGATCTCTGTTCAATTCAGAGCTATGGCTAATAAAGGAAAAATCGCCTAATGGTATGGCAATAGTTTGCTAAACTACGAATATTAATATTCTTAGGGGTTCGAATCCCCTTTTTTCCGAAAAACAAAAGGTTAAATATTTATCCTATATAAAATAAATTAAAAAAAAAAATGAAATTAGCATTATTATTATTTTTAATAGGTATTTATGGTATAATTTTAAATAGAAAACATTATCTTTTAGTATTAATATCTATTGAAATATTACTATTAGCTATAACTATATTAGTACTTTATTTTTCTATTCTTCACGATGATATGTTAGCTCAAATATTTGGTTTATATATAATATCTATAGCTGCTGCTGAAACAGCTATTGCTTTATCTATATTAGTAGCTTATTATAGATTAAGAGGTACAATTAATATAATAACAATATCTGAAAATACAACAACTTTATTTCCTAAATTTACATTATAAATTTTATAATAATTCTTAATATTTTTTATTATAATTTTATTAAAATATATTTTTTTAAGGGTAGATGACTGAGTTGGTTTAAGGTGCTTCGCTTGAAACGAAGAGAAGTTTTGATTAACTTCCATGGGTTCAAATCCCATTCTGCCCGTACGGATAGTAGCGTAATAGGTAACGTATCTAACTTGGGATTAGAAGATTATAAGTTCAATTCTTATCTATCCGAAATAATAAAAATTATGGAAAATAAAAAAAAAATTCATAAAAAAAAAAAAAAAAAAAATGAATACATTATTATTATTTATATTAATAACACCTATTATATTAATTTTATTATTAATAATTAATTTAATTATACCTGTTAATAAACCAGATTTTTCAAAATTATCACCATATGAATGTGGTATGGATACAATAGGTACAGCTAGAGAAAAATTTAATATACAATTTTATTTAGTTGCAATATTATTTTTAGTATTTGATATAGAAGTTATATTTTTATTTCCTTTTGCTTCTGTTTTATATAATATTTCTTTTTTTGGTTTTTGGATAGGTACTATATTTATATTAATTTTAACTATAGGTTTTATTTATGAATTAAGTAAAGGTATTTTAAATTTTATACAAAATTAATTTAATTCTTTATTTAAATTATTTAAGGAAATAATTTAATTGGTAAAATATTAGTCTCCAAAACTAATTTTAAAGGTTCAATTCCTTTTTTCCTTGTTTTTATATTTTTATTTTATACACTCTTTACTTAATTGGTAAAAGTAATAATCTTCGAAATTATTTATATAGGTTCAATTCCTATAGAGTGTTTAGGCGAATATAATTTAATAGGTAAAATTACAATTTGTGGCTTTGTTTATATGGGTTCAAATCCCTTTATTCGCCTTTAAATTTTTATAAATCTTGTTTAGCTTAAAAGGAAAAAGCAACGATCTTCTAAATCGTTTATTGTAGGTTCAAATCCTATAACAAGTAATAAAAAAATTAATTTTTTTATAAAGTTGGGATTTAATTATATAATAAAAATTATAATAATATAATTTGCTTATAGAGTTGGTATCTGATGGTAATGATAGACTATAATTATCTTTTTTAATATTTTTATATTGGTATAAAATATATACCTGGATCTTAAATCAATATAATTTTTATATATTATTAACACTTTAATAATTTAGTATTCCAGTATAAGTATTAAGATTATAACTTGATTCATTATTATATTTGTATCTATTAATATATTAATTATAAATATTAGTATAGTAATATTTATATAAGTATTTATTATAATATTTATATTAGAGTAATACTTTATTACTAAATATTTAATTGTAAATACATTTATATTATTTATTATTATAATTTAATTAATTATAATTAACTTTTTATTAAATTTTATAAAAATACTAATATATTTGTAAAGCAGAATATAAAATAAAAGTATATATTTAATATAATTATATTGTTTATAATACTTTTATTATAATGTATATGATTTCAATTGTTTTATTTATACCGTTTCAATATTTTAATAAAAATAGTTCTTAATAGTCATTTTACCTCTGTACAATATATTTATAAAGTATTCTCTAAAATTATAGAGTAAATATAAATTATATCTTATTACTTTTATTATTTTTAACACTAATTTATATATATTATTAATTATTCTCGTTTAGTGGGTATATTTAAAATATCCGCTTTACGAATATAATCAATATAAAATATAATTAAGATATATAATAATAATTTATTTCCCGCTTTACGAAATATTTTATAAATTTTTATATTATCATATCTTATTTCTTTTATTTTTATTATTTATATATTTACTGATTTTATATTATAGCTATAATTATATAATTCAATATTAGATATTATGCAATCAATTTTAAAAAAATTTTTTTTATATATTTTTTTATATAGTTATTATAAATTTATTATTATTGGCATTAATACTTAAAATTATATAATTTTAAATTGAATATTTTTTTTTTACAAATAGTATAAACACTTTTATTATTTAAATTATAATTTAATTAAGTTATAATAGTTTTGATTAGAGTTACATTTATATGTAATAAAAGACTCCATTCTGTGAGTGTTTAATTTTTTCATTATTAAAATTTTTATAAAAGAAATAGAAAAAGATAAAAATGACCTATCTTTTTCATAAATAAGGAAAAATTATAAGGTATGTAATATACCATTAAATAATATTTTATTAATTAATTTTAAAATTAATTAACCTTTTAAAAATAATAATATATTGAAAGTAATGATTAGAATGAAAATAACTAATACAATCTAAAATAGAAATAGAATTTATTACTAATCTTATTTTAAATATAAAATTTAAAATAAAATGCATTTTTTTTTGTATAAAAGAATATAAATTGTTGATATCATATATATTAATTATATAATTTATTGATAATGAAAATAAATTTATTAATAAAATTATTTATTGTATCATTAATTATATCAAAAAAAGAATTAAGTTTTAAATTAGATTCTAAAGTAGGTTCTTTAAGATCTTTATTAAAAGTAAAATCTCGTTGTAAATTTTTATTCTCTTGTTCTAAATTAGTATTTTTATTTTTTAATTTTTCAATTTCATTTTTTAATTGAATATTCTCTTTTATTAAATTTTTATTTTTATCTTTTAAATTATTTTTATTATTGTCATTTTTAGTTTCTATTAATTTTGAACTTATTACACTACTAGCTGTTATTATTGCTGATATTATAACTGTCATTTCTGCTGTTAATATATTATATATAATATTAAATATGAGTTATTTTTTTTTATAATTTTAAATTATCCATATTTGTTAGTATTTAATCTAAAAATATTGATGCCAATGGCATCAATATTTTTATTCATTCAGAATTCTTTAATAAATAATCTAAATCAAAACCTGCATCGTAAACAGTTAATGCACTAATAATAATAATACAAATACTTTTTATATAATGTATAAATATTGTGATAGAAGTAATTCTAATATTTAAAGGATTATTTCTGTAAATTAATTTATTTGAAAATATTGTTTTTATAATATAAATTATTTTTATAAAATTTATTATTAATATAAATAATATTTGAAAAATATCTATTATAAATATTATTAAATGTGTTAATATGTTATTATTTAATTTATATAATCAAATTAAAGCACAATTACTATTTATAATTCTATAAATTCTTATTTAAGATTTTTTATAAAATATTTACTTTATCTGGTAAATTTACATATTATATCCTTTATTTAATCCTATTTTTATATTATGTTATAAACTATTTTATTAATTAAAATAAATTTTTAAGATTGAAATTGAGAATTATTTTTAGAATAAAGGTAAATAATTCTCTAAAGATAAAAAATTAAGTTTAAAATTAAAATCTTAAAAAATTTACCCTTAAATTTAAGATTTTTTAATATCTAAACTATTGTTATGAGGTTGTATATTAGTAGAAGAAATAGGTGTATTAGATTCTGAATGTTTTAACTCATTAAATCGGTCTAATACAGTTTTACTTTCACTATCCAATTGATATAAAATTGAACAGCAAGGGTTGGTATTATCCTTACATATATCATTTAATCTATTTAAGAATTGACCTAAATTGAAAAAACAATCATTTACATATGAATAACCTTCTTTTAAAGGATGTAAAATATTTTAAAATCTAGCTGTAATAGGTTTAAATACAGAAGATTTTTCAGCGTATTCATAGATACTATCGATCCCTAAACCAGCACCTGTAATTCTGGCTGTTGTAACTACCGCAATGCAAGAACCTCTAAAACATAGCCACATTATACCAGTAGAAGATGAAAATACATTAAATGGACTATTTTTTATAATCCATTTACCTGTAAATAAATATTTTATATTATAATAAAGTTTTATATTTAATATAAATAATATATATATAAGTTGTATCATAGCAGTTACACCAATAAACATATTTAAAAATAGATAACCCGTATCTATTTTTAAAAGCATAAGAATTACTAAAATACCCCTAACACTCTACAAAATCTAGTAAAAATATGATTATGAAAATTTTATATATTTTTAGGTAGTGTTGGTAAATTATTCACTTTAATAATTGCTAATCTAATATCATTTATAATATTACAACTAGACCAGATAAATAATGGTTAAATATTAGAATTTATTGATATAGATAAATCTGCTAAAGTATTTTCTAAAATTGAAATAAAAGGTATAAAGAATAAGAAATATAAAAAATAAAATACAGTAGCAATTTGACCTATAGTAATAAAGGGAGGTTCAGCATGATTAGCACCAATCCACATTAAAATAAAAAAATTAGCAATAAATAACCAATAAAAAAATTTCATAAAAGGTCTAAATTGTAAAGATCGTATTCTGGACACGTCCAGAACGGGTAATAAGAATAAAATTAATATAGCAGCAAACATAGCTATAACACCACCTAATTTATGAGGAATAGATCTTAAAATAGCATAGAAAGGTAAAAAATCAAAGAATATTAATTTATAAAAAGGTTTTATTAACCTATATATAATATTATAAACCTAATTTATATAACATATCATTTATAAAATAATCTTTTGTTAAATATATTAAATGAT